GTCTCCGCTCTATTGCTTCCTTAATCCATCTCTATTCATTCATCACATTCTCTCTCTCTTTCTCTCCCCCCTCTATCTCTCCTAAAGTCCAATAACACATACAAGACATCACGTGATCAATCCATTACAATATCCCATTAAGGAAAAGGAAGCTCAAGCATATAAAAGTTGAACTATGGTGGTAAAATCCAATAAGCAACATAGATATCAGACGTGATGAGTGGCTTTTGGCAATTGATGTAAGGCATATTAAAGGAATTTTATGATTACAAAAGGAGGATTGAGGCATGAACAACTCAATATAGTTCTTTCTAAACAAATCCCTAGTAAATATGCAAGTCTTTCTAATTAAATTATTGTAATCTTCAAGATTTTGAGAGGTAAATGTTGGGCGGAGTAAAGGATCTTATTGTTGGAATCCATAGATTAGTACTAAAGATGAAAATCAAGATCCCACAAACTCATGATAAGGAAATCAGGATCCTGCTGATTCATGACAAGAAAACCAAGATCATATAGATTCATGCAATGAAAAAAAAAATTTGAAAACGTATTTTTAAATTTTATATTTCTTTGTAAAGCTATAAATATATAATTTTTTTTTATTCAATACTCACATCAATCAATATTTTTAATGTATCAAATGCTATAAAGAAAGAGAAAGAAGCCTTTTAGGCTCCACATTGTATCAAAGCTATAATTTTTTTTTTCCAATTTCTTATTCATCATGATCTTCATATCTAAGTAATTTTTTTAGCCTTAATTGGTGTCTCTATATTTACATTAGCCTTCATGCCCAATTCAAAACCCTAATATAATCACTTGTAATAAAAAATCTCTGCCTTCGCTACATTGTTGTTAGGGCCTCCCTCACCATGCAATCAATATCAATCTTTACAAAGCATTCATAGTACTATGATTGATGATTCAACTAGGACCGATTATCAGATTATTTCATATCCAACCTTTGCTACAATTCATAACCTATGCCAATTTGGTGATTCCCTTACGATGCCAATTAGGGATTCAAGATTAATGATTTTTATTATGCATCGCCCAAGTCAACCCCTAAGTCAACCCGAGACCTTTGCCTATTTACTTCTACTTGATGTAAAATTAGACAGCATAAGAAATTGTTCATCCCCTTCTAAGAGGCTAGTTGTGCTCCACTTCAATTCAAAAATGATATATGAGAATTTACTTAATGTCATGTACATAGATTCCATAAGATTTTGCTTAATATTTTTTCGATGATGCAAGGTCCCCTATACAATGGTCTCTTCTCAACACAACTTTTATGATATAAGATAACTCGATCTTTGTAACCTTATACAATGATGACCTTGTTAACAATAGCTTTTCTATTTGAGGGACTTCATCATTTGCTTGAATTTAATTTTTTACAATCTCTTATCCTAGCCTTCATCACTGCTTGTATTCATATTTCAAAATCTTCATTATTGCATGTGCCAATCCCAACCATAACCTTCATCATTGTCAATTTTGCTATAGTTTTGGAGGGCATCTCTATTCTGTGTTGAAGCCTATTAGATCTCCTGAAATAAGCATTTATTTAAATAAAGTCAGATGCAAAACTTAATCGTATATAATTTAATAAAAAAGAGATTAAAAGACTCCGAGATTTACTGAAGATTAAAAATAAAATCCTTTTACTAGTGGTGCTAAGTATGTCCATCCCTACGAACCAAATCTCACATAATGCCATCATTGACTCCTGGATCATTGATTAGGAGCTACATATCAAATGGCATATACTTACTAAAATTCAATTCTATATTCCTTATCCAAGTACTAGAGAGATATATTTATTACTAATAGCTATCTTACCATAATAACATGATTATAATACATATAAAGCAATTCACTATTTATTCTAAAGAACAATTTTTATTTTTCTAAGCTTTTTAGTAACTTGTGAAAAACTCACTTGTGATATGAATTGTAAATAACTTATTTCCTACTTGTGTATTTTAGGATCCACAACTAGGAAATAAAATTAAAAAAGGGCAAACGTTACTTTTTAAAACATCAAATCAAAGAGCGGCATACCTTTATCCTTCCATCCTCAAATAAAGATAGCATTTGCACTTGTCATTTTCATCTTGGGCATTCTTCAATTAGAATTTTAAAAACTGTGTTTGTTAATCTTTTTAAAAGAGTTGATATTAAACTTTTTAATTTTAACATTTATGAATTTGCAAAGCACAAACATTTATCATTCCCCATGAGTAATGAAAAAAGTTATGCTCTCTTTTACTTTATTCACAGTGATATATGGGGTCCCACTATTATTCCTAATGTAATAGGCAGTGTATAGCTTGTTTCTTTCGTTAACAATTGCATTAGGACTTTCTAAATCTTTTATACTTATATTCAAATATGAAATCATATTATCCACCCTACTTTTCCAATTATAACCCAAAACTAACTTAGGGTAGAAATTTATGAAAAAATCCAACCTGATAATGCTAATGTCAATTTTAATTTTGTCCCCAAATTTTCACAAAAAATAAATCATGAGCTCATAAGCATCAGTGCTCAACAAAATAACCTTTATGAATAAAAAGAATGATAAAATACTAGCCATAACAAAAGCCTTCTTATTCCAACATCAAGCTACAAAATCATATTGCGAAGAGACCATCATTACAACTACCCACATCATTAATAAGCTATCTTTTGAAGTTATGGAGTTCAAAAGATCAACATAAGTAGTTGCCCTTATCCAAGTTAAAAACACCACAAACTATTGAACATCGTGAATCCCTGTTGGTACTGCTACCACCCTTGTGCATGTTCATAGTAATAACTAAGGGAAGCTTGATCCCAAAGCAATCAAGTGTATCATTTCAGATTACTCATCAATCCAAAAACAACATAAGTGCAACCACCAATCTACCAAAACATCCATTATTTATACTGATGCCACTTATGAGGAAAAGACATTTCTTTATTCAATCTTATCTTCAAGGGAAGAGTTAACTATAGAAAGTAAAGGATGAAAAATCTCTTATGACTAGATCCACCTTTCCCACCCACATCTTCATCAATTCCGGATAACTCTATTCTCATACTCCTCAAAGAAATAAAATGGCTTCCTGAGAGTCCTCAAGCCACAGAAATCCCAAATCATGCCATTTAGAGATATAGTTAGGTGTATTCAAGAAGGATTGCTCTAATTCAAAAACTTATGGAAGCTTGAGAATCTTCTCCAAATTCTAAAAAAATCAGATAATTGTAATTTCTGAGCCTACATCCCAACCCCACCCCCAAAAAGACTACCCGAAGAGAAAAATAATGATCTATCAATTACAACTTAAGAAAAACACAAGCAAGTGCACCAAAGACTTACCGTGTTCTGCATCTCGCATCGTTTCATTTAAGAAGCTCTCATCTGCCACAAAACTTTTAGTAAGCATCTAAACACCATTTTAATTTTTGCAACATTATATGAGGCAATGCCCCTTGAGGAATAGAGAAAAGCCATGAGTGGTGAGGGGAGCCTTGGAGAAGAACAAAATATTGGAGATCATAGAGTTTCCAATAGGAAAGAATTCAATAGGGGGCTATGGGTGCGTGCAGTGAATTATATAGCTGATGAGGCCGTTAGAATATAAAGATATGATTACTAGCTAAGAGCTACAATCAAACCTAAGGAGTATATTGCTTGAAGGCGTTGCTCTAATTGCAAAGATTAATATAGTAAGTCATTTTGTAACTAACTGCCAGCTTTCACCGGGATTTGTAATGATTTGACGTTCAAAATGCATTCCTTCATGGAAATTAAAAGGAGAAATCTATGATATATTCTCCTAGGTTTGGAGGAGAACTTGGAAACAACAAAATCTACAAACTATAAAAGGCATTATATGTTATCAAAATGTGACCCAGAAATTGGTTTAGAAGATTTGCAGAAGTGATGATAGCCACCTATTACAAGACAGTTAGGAAATCATACTGGAGGAAGTCAGATCTTTATTATTTTAAGTAATACAGCTGTAGTAGAAAGATACGAAAAGATTCTTTTAAGCAATTGTTAATCAGAGAAATTGAGGTAAAATAGCTAAGAAAAATGAAGCATTTCCTAGAAATTGAGGTTTCTCAATCATATCAACGGATCTTTTTTCCACAACAATAGTATATCATTTGATCTACCAAGGAAAACATCAAAGACGAATTGTAAACTCCTTAAAGACATGTTAAGTGGGATCACAATTTAATAGGGGCAAAAGCAGATCCTATGATGAACAGGGAAATGTAATAAATGATAGTGAGACAACGTATTTATCTTGCACATACGACATTGAATATAATCACTACATGCATGTTCCGAAATTGGTTAACCTAAAGGCTCTCTACCAAAATCTTATTACTTAAAATTTGGAAGGGTGGTTTTATTTTGAAGAAATACAAAATTAGAACTTGAAGTCTATATATACATCTACAATACAGGTTCTTTTGTAGTTAGAAGATCAACCTCTAGCTACTGCACCTTTTTTGGAGACAACCTTGAAAATATAGAAGCAAAAACAAAATGTAGTAACAAGGTCTGGTAAAAAAGTTGAAATTGTAGCAATAGCATACAGAATATAAGAGTTAATGTGTTAAAAAATTATTCTTAAAAATCTAAAAATCAAGTAGAGCGGGCCTATAAAACTCTATAGTGATAATAAGTCCTAAAAAAATATAACACATAATCCTGTGTAGAATGATAGAATGAAGCCTTTTGAGATAGATAGACATTTTAAGAAAACATTGTCAATTACTTAATTTATATCATGTGCGTCTAAGGAGATTAACAGCACGTCTTCAAGGAAAAACTCGACATCAAGTAGTTTCAGGAGGCGCTTAAGTTACTCATGACTTAAAACAAACCATTTTATGGACGAAGAACTATTTTATTTCTGCACAAAGCAAGGAAAAAAATGAAGCCATCTCAAATTACACACTATACAAATATGAACACAGAAGCTACTTACCAACAACACATTGCTGATCTATCTCGCAATCAATAAGAAAATTACTCTTAGCAACCTCCTTGCCATCCATTTCTACTTCTTGTGGTTCACAAGAACTTAAGACATTCATGGCATATTGGGATTTATGTAGTGCCTTGTACATGTTATGAAAACCTCCTCTCCAGCAAGGAAAAGACCTATGGGAGAAGAAAATATCATTAGTCTACTAGTATAAATCAAATCACAAAAGCCAGCACAAGCATTGAAACACAAGGAAGATTCAGCCTATTCTTCTGGAATATACATTTAAAATCTTTAATATGAAAGAGATCTTTGAAAATAAGACAATCACTTAAGGCATGCCTATACTACGATAGACTTAATTCACATTGTAAAATGTGAATTAAGGCATGGGAGAAGAAAATATCATTAGTCTACTAGTATAAATCAAATCACAAAAGCCAGCACAAGCATTGAAACACAGGAAGATTCAGCCTATCCTTCTGGAATATACATTTAAAATCTTTAATATGAAAGAGATCTTTGAAAATAAGACAATCACTTAAGGCATGCCTATACTACGATAGACTTAATTCACATTGTAAAATGCCAAAACGATGGTTATGCCATGAATATGCATAATTACAATGCACGTGAGCTGACAGGGCATATCATTAATGATTATTGGATAAAGGATTCATTATCAACAATTACTTCGACACATCAACGGGTATTTAGCTTGAAAATGTTAGAAGATTTAAATAGTTTACAGTGATATCTGTCCTCCACTACATGCAACATGGTAATCAATAACCAAAGAATATAAAAGGGTAAGATTTAACATTATGTAAGCATGTGTCACTCTGCGCCAAATACTTTACTGTACAAAGTATTAAGAAGAGTTTTTATAAGGAAATGTGTAGCTTCCACTGGACCACCAACATAGAAATCAATTTCTAATAGCAAAATAATTAAGCACTATGGAATACTAATATAAGATTAGTAGGGGAGATTGGAAGGAACAAATATTACCGATGTCTCGCTCATTATCTTTAAAATCAATAATTTAAAATATCATGAAAAAACTATTTTGAACTTCACTGACCTGGATTATGCCTGCTTTAAGTTTATTTTCCTAATAGTATGCCCTAGAGACAATATTATACCTTCACCAATGTTTTAGTATGTATTTTAGATTCAAATGAAACAACAATTAAAACAATGATAAATGAATTCCTTATAATGGTTAACTCTGCATTATTATTGTTCTCATCATGAACAGAAATATCTTTCTCTTAAATATTGTGAAGGAAAAATATTTTTCTTGCTACCATTAGGCAATGTTTAAAAAGGCAAAACTAGGAACTAAAGAGTGTTGCTTTAGCAAGGCGATGCATAAACCTCAAAATATTAAAACAAAATTATAGATATAACATAAACCATTGATATATTAATTTATTTTATAAGCATCTAAATTATAAATAACAATATTAAATATTGATAAATTATAAATGACAATATTAAATATTGATATAAAAATAAAATTTGAAAAACAATTTAAGATAAACGTTAGCTTAAAATTTAAATATACTATGAGAATCATGTTTTACAATAGTCTCATTCTCACTTTCACCATCTTCAAAAGAATTATCATCTGTAATAATTGTATCATCTGACCTATTTCATCGGCTTCTAAATCTTCTTCAATCACCTTATTTTTTATCTTATCACATAGATGAATTAATATTAAATCTAATAAAATTCAAAACAAAATAACAAATTTATGACACAATCAAGTATTCATACTTAAATTATCTTTTAATTTTTTTTTGAGACATTGAATTAAATATATTAGATATAAGTATAATACAATCTAAAATAATATATATTAATAATATATTATAATATTTTTACTTAATTTGATTGAGGCGTCACCTCAAATGCCTTGACAATAAAATCCCAAGGCATACATCTCAGTTTGAAAAGGTGATAAGTCTCACTACTAACAATGAAGCTTAAGCCCAAGGTCTTCATGTGTGCATTGGTTTGAAGTGCGCTACAAGACGGGCACCTAGAACACTTTTTGAACATGGATTTCAATATATTTATTGATGAGTTCTCAGCTACGTATATCAAGATTTTTTATTTTCTTGCATATTTATTATCGTGATAATTTTAATGAAATCATTTTAAATACTGTTGAACTCTTTACATGAATACCCTTATCTCAATTTTTATTATTTTTGCAATACGTATAATTTAATAACAATTAAAATTATGTTTAGGCCTGACTATTGAAAGTTAAGGTGTGGGGCAATCAAACAATATATGGAAAATAATAGTTAAAGTTTGCGATTTTTTATTTTTATAACAATAATGAATCTCTTGTTAAATAATGCATTTAGCATGCCCTATATTCCTCCTTAAATATTAATTTAAAAATTTTATAATTACTTTTATATAAGTACGGTTTAATAGCTTATGAGTTGATAATATATTTTTGATAAATGTATTGGCATTTTGGTATTATCTTTAAAAATTTAGTAGTTATAAAAATATTTCTCAAATTTTGTTTTGTGCAATCATTTTTTTCTATATAATTAAGAGTTAGTAACTATAACTTTATTGATACCTTATTTTTATAGTGTTTTAACTATTCTTAGGTTTACTTGATGTTTATTTTGATATAATCAATAATTATATATAATTTAAGAATTGTACTCATTACTCTAACCCATGTTAATTTTTTTACTTAATTTTAAATCATCAGTTTACTAGATATTTATAGTTTTATTTTTTTTAGAAATAGGTGGTAAGATTTTATTTTGAAATTAATTTTTTCAAGAAGGTTCTTTTCAAATTCATCCATTTTAATCCACCAACTCTACTTGTAGTTTCTATTTTTTTCTTTTTGGTTCCAGAACTCTCTTATACATACTCCATATTTTAGAAATGATAATAATTTCATGATTAGCCTTTGAACACATCAAATGTAGGATTGAGTGATCTCTAACAAAAAAATTTAGGAAAAAATAAGATATTGAAATGACCACCTCTCATTATAAAATACGAACAAACTTCTTTATTTTTTAAGGGTAGAAAACACTCCTCTAGATATTTACAAAATAATCCAGTTTGCTCATCTTTTATAATGAGAGGTGGTTAGTTTATCTCCTATTTTTCCTTAATTTCTTTCTTGAAGATTATATTATCCAAAATTTGAAGCTAATCGTGAAATTATTATAATTTTTAAAATTTGAAGTTATTTAAGAGAGTGAAGAACAAAAAATACAAAAAATTTTAAGTAGATATGGTGACTTCTAAAGAACGAATTTGAAATATTTTTGCAAAAAAAATGATTTCAAACAAAAAAAATTAACACCCCTTTCTCAAAAATGTAACTATAAAAATCTAAAAAAAATATGGCTTAAAATTAAATAAAAAAATTAGTAGCATAGATTAAAGTAATGAGTAAATTTTTCTAAATGCAAATAATTGGTGATTATATGAAGAGAAATACCAAGTAAAATAAAAAACATCCAAAACGCTATAAAAATAAATTATCAATGAAGCAACAAATATTAACATTTAATGTAATAAAACGAAATGATGACACAAAAAGAAGTCTAATAATTATTTTCCTAATATTTTCAACTATTGAATTTTACAAGATGATTATAGAAAACTCACCAAAATGCTCAAAAAAATTTACATTAATATATTAACAACTCTTAATTTGTTGCAATATGTCTACATAAAAGTAATTATAAGCTCTAAATTAATCTTCAAGGGGAAAACAAGACATGCTAAATGAATTACCTTAACAAGAAATACACTAATGTACTAAAAGTAAAAAAGTAAAAGAAAAATCGCAAACTTTAAACATATTATTGTCTGCCATAAAATTTCTAATTACACCACACCTTATTTTTTAATAATCAAGATTGGACATAATTTTCATTGTTATTAGATCATACATAACACAAAATTAACAATAATTAAGATAATAATCACGATGATTTCATTAAACCAATCACAACAATAAATTTGCATGAAATGAACATCTTGATGTACATATCTAATAAATCATCCAAAAATGAGTCAAAATCATTGTTCAAAAAGGTATTCAAAGCGTATAACTTGGGGCGCGTATAGAACTTAAGAGCACAAAAATGACTCGGGCCTAAGCTTCATTATTAGTAGTAAGGCTTACATCTTTGTTATCTGAGGTGTATGCCTCAAGGCTTTATACTCGAGAAATTTGATATGGTACCTCCATCAGATTAAGTAGAAAAATTATATTATAATATTTTAAAATGCTTATATCTAATATAATTAATTTAATATGAAAAATTAAAAGATAATTGAAGTATGATTACTTTATTTTGTTATACATTTGTTATTTAAATTTAAATTGGATTTAATATTAATTTATATAGGTGGTAAGATGAAAAATATAGAGATCAAAAAAGATTTAAAAGGTGCCAATAAGACTGATGAAATGATAAAATTATTATATATTATAATTTCTTTTGAAAATAATATAAGTGAGAATAATGTTGTTGTAAATCTTTATTCTCATAGTCTATTTAAAATTTAAACAAATGTTTATCTTAAATTTTATTTCAAAATTTTATTTTATATCAACATTTAAGAATGTTATTTGTGATTTACATCCTTAACTAAACTAATATATTGATTGTTTGTCATATTAATGAATTTTTTTATATTTTAACGCTTACGCATCGATCCACCTTGAGGATTATGCCTCACATCGCTTAAGCAAAACACCTCAATTCTCAATTTCATCCTTTTAAGCATTTCCATTAAGAAATAAGGACATCATTCATGCTGCAACAACAATAGACACTCACCTTCAAAATTAAATCCATTAGAACGGAGGAAGCAAATGCAAATAATGCAACTTTCCATTTTTGAATGGTAACTTGTAGTCAAGTTTATGTTTATTATAGAATAAACTTCATAGGTACCCATGTCCAAATAAGCTATTGTCAAAATCATTTAAAATACGGGGTTGTTTTATTGTTTGAATGGCAAGCATTTGACATGCTATGTTATGACACTAGCACATGTTATTATTTAGGAATGGTACCAATTTTGCATAGCAACTTCATAAATAAACTTTAGCTTCCACTATAACAGCGTCTATATTTTGGTCAAATTTACAGATATTTAA